CTATTCTAATATATATAACGGTCCAGTGTCAAATAATAAAAGCTCGTTCAGCCGACAAGAAACGAGGCGTTCTCCATTTTCCCTCGGCTTCGTTATCTCCATTGTGCACGTCGGTCTAGTTAAAATATCGAGGTTGCTTTCAGCGATCGAGAAAGATTAATGGCTATTTTGGACGATTTGTTTTATGACGGTGGAACGAGAATTTTCGTTCGATAGAGCGTTTTCACGCGGAAAAGAAACCGGCAATCTCTGATAGCCACGATTTCGTTTGCTCGTTGGCGCGTGGAGAACATTGTCCAATGGAATTGGTTGGTAATCATGAGGGGACGATAATCAGGTTAGGAAATTTCCAATACGTTATACTTGCTATTAAAGACGAATATGGTTTCTCTTCTGTTATCGGGATCAAGGTAATTCTGAACTTTATTCGCTCTAACGAGTTTAACAATTGGACAACGTTGGCTCTCGCCCTGCTGTATCATTTTTTTTTTTTTGAAACCAGCTTTCACTGTACTTTCTATTCCAAAAAAAAAAAAAAAATTACAGAAAACCATCGATACATTTATACAATTACAATCGTCAAAAATTAACAGACAACGAAAACAATCAATTTATCCAATCTCTGTAGCGAGATCATCGTACGATCATCGAGAAATATATTCATAGAAGAAGGATAAAAATTGGAAAAGGAATTTTCGAAAGAGGTACTCGACTCGAAGCGGCAAAGGTGCACGCGTATACGAGGACACGTCATTTTTATAGCCCGTAGATAGATATACAGTTGCGTTGACCCGCAATGTCGTACTCCATACGATCTACGCGAAAACGATCGCAAGAACGATCACAGTTATACGAGTGGTCGCGGAACGCTTTTCCGTGACTCGTTTACGAGCACATTGTACCCGGCATTCCGGGCGTACGCTCGCGGAAGAAACGTGTTCTCGGACGAGTCACTGCTCAGGAATCCCTTGGAGGCAAGTAAAACCGGCCTTGGACCTCCTTGAGGTCTCTTGTGTCAATATGCTGCGCCTGCCGGCCCTCCCTCCTCTTTGACATGCAGATCAGCCCTGCCAGAAGAACAAACGTGCCTTGCCTTTCACGAGGCGGGGACGTACAGGCGTTGCAGGTCGTCTCGGTGCTTACTGATTATTATTCCACTGTTTCGATCCTCATCCTTTTCATTATTTATCTCTATTTTTGTATTTAAACATCCTTTTTCCTTCTTTCTGGAGAATATTGTGTAAACATATTAACTTTCATTTCTGTTAATCGTAAAATTTTCAAATCTTGTGCAAATTTAATAACTCTCTTAACTTAAAAAATTCTTTACGGAAGACGACGTAACCGTCAAACAACAGTCATAAATCATCACGAATTTCACGATCCATCTTTTTCGAAACATTCGTTCGAAATAATAAGAAGCGACTGCCATGATCGCCGGAAATCGACGAGGTTAGCACGCAGGAAATATAAATTTCCGAAAGTTGCACCGTTTCGAGAACGAGCGCGCATCCAATTAACGGCGAGGAAATGACCTCGAAGATATACTAAGATCACAGGAGGAGTTTCAGGATCGATAATATCTTTGCATCCAAGTCAAGATTTACGAGCATATCAAGGTGTACATGCAACTCGTTCCACGGCGAAATGTATATCCACGCCGCCATATCGATATATCCTGATTTCCGGCGACGTTCCCGCTGCCTTTGATCCGTTCCTCCTCGACTCTCTGTCCTCGTGTGCCATCACGGTCCGGGGATACAGAGCGTGTCGGCATCATCGTGGTCGCAGACCTGTCGCCGGTTCTTCACCATTCTTCGCCAGTTTCGAATGTTGCTATCCGGCGTTAGGGAGAAGTTTCTATTCGAGAAACGTGGAATATATCGATTCGAGCCGTGAAGTGAGTCGAGCTTGAAATATAATATATCCGTGGTTTCTGTGCATTGGTTTGTTCGTTTGCGATTTCCTTCGAGATGGAGGAACATCGGGCGAGATTAGGCAAATGAAAATTAGGATTAGGATGGAAAATTGAGACGTACGAATATTCGAAACGAGGCGAACGCTATATTTTCTTATTGCATGTAGTCGATAGTTACCAAACAGTTATTTCAACGCAACACGTGACTTAACCTATACTTCGAACATAACCTTTTTCAAGAAACAGGAAACGCGCCGAGAGGAAAATTCTCGCTTAAAAAGTAAACATCTATAAACTTGGTTAGCGTTGTTTAAAAATACTTCTGCATGGATTACGATTCTTGTTAACGACTTGTGAAAAGGTAAATCTGTTTTTCTTAGTTTTTGCGTACTTTTTCCTTTTTTTTCTTACCTCGAAAGTGATTAACCCGATGTTTCCATTTCCGTAACTTTATCGGTGTTGCGAGAATCTTGGGTTTTCATCGTGAAACACAAAGGGATTTATTCTCTGTTAACATTGAATTTTATGGTACAGTAGCTACGCGCGATACCTTGAAACTTTTACGAACAACGGAGTCATCCATGCATTCAACGAATTGGATGCATTGGCTCGTGAAGAGCGAATCGATAGAGTGATCATCTTTCTCGGAGTAATACATAAATTTCTAATGGAAGATAAAACTTTTGTTGAAAAATTGTCGAGCAAATCAAGGGAAGTCATCAATTTGGAAATAATTGAATATTTCGTTGTGCTACTTTGAGGTTTTTCCTTTTTTTTTTTTTTTTATTTTAAGTTATTATATCATAGGAAATATTTATATATGTAAATTTATTTACGTATTTAATTATTAGATTTATTTGGCGGAAAATGTAGTTCGTAGAGGAATGAAACGATTAAAATAGTGTAATGCCATTTTTTTCGTTCCCACGACGCACGCCTCTCGTATATAATAACCATTTCTTTCCATGAATAAACAAGCTCGCATGCAATTACACATGATTTTGCATATTCTCGTTCTCAACGATTAGCAAGCTTGGAGGCTATTACCGATTATTCATGCTATGCCTAAGCTTTCTTAATTTCCTGTTTATTATGCACAGGTCACCTGTTTTTCTAATTTTCCGGCAAACATAATTTGTCGAATTAATAGAACGAAAGACACTTTCCTCCGCGTCATTGATACTACTATTATTTTTCTCTCGATATTATTTTGCGTCATTACGAAAAATCTCTTTGAATTTTCAAAAAAAAAAAAAAGAAAAAGGATAAATACGATATTTCCTAGGTTTTTGCACGATTGTTCAAGGAATTAAATCAACTCGAAAAATCAACAGCCTTGAGATGCTTTCAGCTGATCACCGAGAGTTGAGGTTATACGTCCGAAATAGAACGTTCGCAACGGATGCATCGTGCAAACATAGCCGTTCTGTAATAATATTTACTCGACGAACGATATATGCCCAGCGAAATAAAGACCGGAAGAAATATATCGATGAAAGAAGTTGCTCCGTTATAGAAACTTTGTGTTACCTTCAATTGTACAACATTACGAAATCTTAGTCTCGACTTTGATTGTTTAAACTTAGAAATTTAAAAACTTATTAATTATTTGAGAACTTATTGAAGAAGGATAAGCGAAATGGAAAACGGGAAGCGAGGTGGATAATTAATTACACATCCCGCAAAATAAGTAATAGAATATGGATGTATTTCGCGAGAAATCATTAAAATGTATCATAAATCACTCGTATTAGTCTCGCTTCATTTTCTTCCACTGTTAACAATATTGGCCAACTATTACAAGGCCGGTGTAGCAGCACAATCATTAAAATTGCCTTTCTTAATTATCGTTTCGATATTTCGTCGCGTGGATGCATCGTAAATTAGCCAGTTCATTAGTGGTAGCGAGCAAAAGTCGATTCTCTGCCCTGTTCTGATAAAATAATCGTTTCTCTTGCTCCATTTTCCCCGAACGAATTTTTAAAATCGTTCTATCCGAACCAGTTTAATACCATCTTTCGTGCTCTTCTCTTTCGTCTACTCGGTTTATCTTTTCCACCGAAAGAATTCTGCAACATGGTGATCTTCGTTTATCTCGATAAGAAGTTAAAAAAATTTGCTCCCAAGATATTTGATATTTTTATAATTTGAACACTCTCCTTTTATCTCTATCTTCTTCTGGTTTGCTCCCTTGTCGTTGTTATCTTTGGATAATTAATTGGATAATTATTATAATAATATAAGAGTAATATTGGAAACATTGATTTATTCTATTATATTGATTTTCACAGAAAAAAATGTTATTAAATTTCCATCAGACTTGTTTCTTTCTTCTTCATCGTCTATTTTCATACCGGTCTGCTTTTTTGTGCCAAGTCTTTTCTCTCATTGTAAAGGATCTCCTTTCAATTTCCATTGTCCACGGTTTCGATATCTTTCCCTCTCTCAAGTTTTCAAGTCTCTACCCTCCTCTAGATTGCTCGGTTTTCCTTCAAGATTAATTGCTCCCTTTGTCGTGTCCTCCCTTTTCAAGATATTCCCCTTTCCATTCATTTCCCTTCTAATTTCGAAGTCTAGAAAGATCATTAAAAGAACTAATTAGATAGAAACAGTCTTTCCATTTAATAATAGAAATATGTAATTGACAAACCACATATGAACTTCACATCCACGTCTATCTTAAAAAAAAAAAAAAAACATCAATTATTTCCCAGAAAAGAAAAATCACACTCGAATTCGATTAACGAATGATTCCTCTCACCTTATTTTAAAACCAACATCGTGGTTTTCCACAGAGAATCAACGTTAAAAATATCGACTTTTTTACTCGTCTCTTTCGTCCAACTTCGCTCGATATATCGTCTTCAAAATCGACATCGACGATTTTCCATACGGGAAGGAATCACATTGAAAAATCAAGCAAATGCACGGCATACACATCGATTCCACCCTTCGACAACGTGTTGAACAGCTCGATTCATACGAAATCGGATAGCCTCCTCATAGACAGCCTCGATTTCTCTCGAGATATCGACCGACGTTCGGTTCGTCAAGTTTGTAATAAGATTTCCTGTTGTTCCAGGGACGAGGCGTAGGATGGGCCCGACCGCGCGAGCTGTCGTGCTACACTGAAGAGGAGGAGCTCCCCCGAAGAAGAGAGAGAGAAGGAGGAAGGAACGAAGGATGCCCGCCTCGCAGACCGCCGCCACGGAGCGGCGAAACGAGAGGATGGTGGGTATATATCCTTTCCACGGTTGTCGTTTCCGCAGGAAGCCGGCCGACAGAGGAACGTTAAAGGGGGTGCGAGATGAATGCCTCGGGAAATAGCGTCCCATTTTCCCGATGGAAGGCGCGAATGGAGAAGAGGCGAGCCGTTTTTGCAGCGAGTTTGGACGTCGGATAGTCGGAAGTTGTAGATTTAGTAGCGAACGTATTCATCGGTATTCTCGTTTTCACGAATATTCACGTGGAATTGAAAGGGATGTTTGTTTAACTGTTCGCGTTTTGCGTCTCGAAAATGAACGCAAAATGTGAACAAGTGAGATATTTAGACGAATATAGAGATTTTCTTTTTTTAAACGATTTATTTACTCGATTAACGATAATGATATATATTTTTGAGAAAGTTAATACTATGAGAGAATGTAAAATATAGTTTGATTTTCTTTTTTTTTTTTTTTTTTTTGCAAAAGAACAAAGTCTTTACTAGAGCGTATGAAAGATTGAAAAGGGATTAATTAAAATGTCGCCCGTCATCAGTGACGCTTGTTTCGGTATGACAGTTAAAGGAAGAAAGAAACACAATTTTCCAGAGAGTCTGGACGACAATCGTCGTTAACTACCGCTCAACGATTCGCAACGATGTTCGCTTTTGAAAAGGCTTAGTACCGTAGGAGCGTGATTCCGCTTCCGGCTAGTCAGCGATGCCGTAACACAACAGTTTTTACTCGGTTATCGACGTTAAACTAGAATCTGATTACTTTTTTTTCCCTCACCTTTCCGTTCTCTGTGTTCTTATTTCGATTCTCATCGCACACTTAGTTCCACTCCCTTTTTGTTACGCTTCTTGTTCCATATATTTTTAACGAAACATTTTCAATTTATATTCGGAGCAAAAAAAAAAAAAATCGTATTACGGATAATTTAAAATTTCTGAAATCAACGTTAAATTATTCACGACAAGATTTTATCTCCAGATCATTTTAAACGTGTCTTTCTAATATGATTTCCTTACTGTTTCAGATCACACACGAACCGCCAAAATTAAAAACGACGTTGAAAACGCCTCCCAAACAAGCGACCAATCCTCTTCAGTTCGTCAAAGTAGGGCCGTGCTCTTTGTATCGCACGGCTCAGGAACAATTGCAAAAAGTTCAGGAGGTGAAGAAAATAAAGCAAGAAGTCCGCGATGATCCCGAGGATTGGCAATCGGTAAGATTCGACGCTATTTTCCGATAATGAAATTAAATTAGCCTTTTCTAAAAATAAAAAACGAAAAATGACGAGTAATTGTTTTCCTTTTCCTGTTCAGAATTTAGACAACTGGAAGAGCAGTCGAAGGAAGCGCCAGGAGCACATCATCGAGCGAGTGGTCGAGGTGAAGAAACTGGAGCTGGAGGAGCACGATCGGCAGCGTCGTCGGAGCAAAACTTTCTCGGAGATGATGGAGGAGAGGGGCAACAGGGGTCGGAAATTAAGCATCAGCCTGGCCATGTACCACGAGGAGGACGCCAACGATCTGAGCGATCTTGGTATAGGCACCAGCAGTGGGAAGAGTTCGGTTAGTGGAGATACACATGACGACACACATAGCGTTTTGGTAATAATTATATTATTGATATTTTATCACGATGCGTTGTTAATTTTTTGCCAACGAAGCTTTCAACTTCAAATCCTAAATATATATTTTCTCGAGTCGTCTTCCCTAACATTCTTCCATACTAGATAAAGAAAGAGTGATAAGATCGAGTCGCGCATTTCACTTTGACTACTGATACTGTACTGCTGTATTAGCACTGCTAATTACCGTTATAATTGCGATGGAATAAAAACTGGACAAACTTCTTCCAGAGCGATAGAGACAGCGAAATAGAGAAAAATCACTCGGACGTGGACAACGTACAAAGCGAGAGCGTGATCCACAGCGATATCACGGCATCGTCGGCGACCACGACTGCAACCACGACGAAGAAATCTTTCGGTAACGGGTTTCACACCAGCCACAGTCACAACAACAATCAAGAATACGATTCGGCGACCACGGCGACGACCAGCTCCCCGGAGCCCGAGGAGTACACGTACGAGGGCGCGATTCGAGGTTACGTGTCGCGAGTGTCTCAAAACATACCGAGGCGATCGTTGGCCAATCTGGATTCGAAACTTGAGAGCGCGAAATCGACGAACGGCTCGAAGCTGAGCTTGGCCGACGAGGCGAAATCCACGATACCTGTGGTGAAGGTCGATATCCTGAAGAGGCGGGAGATATTCGAGAAAGCATCGCAGAAGAGCAACGAGACGAAGGCGAACAACAGGCTCTCCGGCGATTTCACCGGGACGAAATCGATCAAGGAGCGGCTCTCGAATCTGGAGAAGCAGAAGCACGAGGCGGAGAGCGGCGAGAAGGCGGGGAGCAAGGCGTTGAACAGATTATCGGGCGACATGAGCTCGATCCGCGAAAGATTGTCCCATCTGGAGAAGCAGGCGTTGGAGCGGGAGAAGAGCTCCGCTCATCGTAAACTGAGCGCCGAGGAGTTGGAGACGGTGAGACCGTTGCGGGACAGATTGTCCACCCTGGAGAAATACAGCAGCAGCGACGAGTCGTCGGCGCCTGGCGCGGCTCACGAGTCGCGGCACACGAACGGCGAGCTGTCGGCCAGATCGATAAAGGATCGTCTGAGCGCTTTGGACGCGGCCAGGAACAAGGAAACGGCCGACAAGAGATCGTCGGTGGGCAAGCACTCGCTCTGCTTCCGGGATCAAGAGAACAGAATCGACACGTCGACTCCTAGCGAGAGAAGCTCGTCCCCCGACTCGGAGTATCGCGTGCCGAGAGCGGCTTTCCACAGAAGCCTCGACTCCCTGGACGCGGACGCTTCCAGCGGCCCCGACACGTTCGAGCGCGTGCAAAGCTTGGAGGAATTGGATTACGGAAGGCGTTACCCGGCGTCCTCGTCGTCCGCCGAACTGTTGAACGACACCGACCGCGAGGATTCGGGTATTCACACGGCCGACGTGAGTTGCTCCGTCAGCCAGGCCGACGAGCCGGTCGACGAGGATATCGTGCACGCCAACACGATCGTAGAGAGGCAGGAGGTGATCGAGGAGAAGGCCGAGGAGCCACGCGAGGAGACGGCGAGCGGCGAGAAGGTCGGTGAACAAGAGCAGAGCACCGCTGTATCCGTGAACGAGATCTCGACGACTTCTGCCAGCCAACCGGACGCAGTAACGGCAAAGAAGGTAAGGCGTAACGACGGTGTTGCATGGCGATTTCTCTACTGGGCAAATCTACTGTTAGTTGTCGTTATATCGATTTGGCTGGCGTATGTAAAGAAAGCGAATCCATTGAGTGGGATATAATAAGTTCTGTTTGCTTTGTCGTTCGCGTACGTTCTCTTTTCCTATTATATTCGGAGTATATTACCGGAGTAATTATGTTATGTTGATCGTGTTATGTATTAAGTATCCGGTTCGAGTTTGTTTTGCGAAGGACGGTCGTCAAGTAATGTTAATTTTGATCGTCGTTGTAATGTTTATAAAAAAAAAAAATAATGACTCGCAATTCTATCTGTAACGTAAAAGATCATCAACGAAAACGTCGGTGTTACTTTACGACTGCACCTGAAACACATTTTAATCGATCGCGAGTGATAATCTACTATTCTTGTTGTTCTTGGCAACGGGATTTGGGCAGGTAGTACGATCTATCCAATAACTCTTTGGTTCTCTAGGGTACTGCTGACACTTCTGGGGAACTGTCGACTAACAAATCACAATCGCAGGCACACATAGAGGTTACTAACTCTAGTACACTTCGCTCCTGCCCTGCCACGAGCCGCCCGATCATATATCAAAGTCCCAAAGTACCTCCCCGACGTTCACCTCCCGAAACGCTTCCCAAACCGAAGCCTCCTGTTCCCAAAGAGCACATCGAGGCCAAAGTAGATTCTTCATCCTTCGTTGAAACGAACACCGCCACGATGTCGAATATCAAACTCTTCGCGGACGAGCAGGGGTCCGATCTCGGTGGCGAGGAAAAGGTTCAGAGCGTCTCGAAACAGGACTCGGCCCCCAAAATCACGAGCTCGTCCTCGGTGTCGTTAGACCCCGCTGTCGCGGACAGCTCTTCTCTGTCGCCCGCAAGGGTGGCAACCGTTCCAACGAACCTTCAACTAGAGTCTACCTCGAACTGTACCGCGAAAGAAGTTCAGAAGAGCACGCCAGTCACGTCTCCAAGAGCGGCATCCAAAATCCCCACCCCCCTTCCTCGTAAAACGATAGGCGCGAAATCCTCCCCGACCAGTTCCACGTCCTCTCTGAGCCCGCCCACCTCGCCATCCTCGCCCAAGACACCGTCACTCAAATCGAGAACGGCAAACGCGAAGAGCCCAACCGGTCAATCGTCGTCCTCTCCCCAATTCCCAAAAGCGTCAGAGATACCGATCCCCGTCGGTTCCAACGTGTCGTCTACGAACACGAGCATCCCTGTCGTATCTTCGAACCTGGAATCACAACAATCACATCCTCTGAACACATCCTCGAAACACATCTCGCACCCCACGTTCAGCACGAAACACCAGGTGACGGTGGGTGAAGAGGCACTGCCTGCGGAAAGACGACGAACGGTGGTGGAAATTTGCGAAAAGGTGGTGGTACCTCAGGGCAAGATACCTACAACGCCTCCTGTGACGCCATTCATCACCGTGGATCGCGTCAATGAGAAGCAGAGCTCACCGACCGAGGTTAGGAATCACGATCAGCAATCTAGCACCCCTTTGAGAAAGTCTTAAGGGGAGGGGAGAGCGAGAAATTCGTTCGTCTTCTTCTTCTTCTTTCTTTTTTTTGGCTATCCTCGCGTAGCACATTGTCCCCCGCCCCTGTCGTTAGACCTAGCTTCGTCTAACTTCCATTTAGATCTTGTACATAAGAATGGGCTTTAGAAACGGGGCGTCCAAGTGGCGGGATTTCTTGTTACTTGATCATGTATCCGTTTCGATAAAAAGAGATCAAAGAGTCGAGAGAATTTTAGAATTTTATCGCAAATAGTTTTTGAAATGAACTAGAAGAAGAGGAGAATAGAATTTTAGAACGAAAGTTACGGTAATTTCGTTAACTGGCCGTTAATGATAATGATATCGTACAAAATGATACAATCCCTCGAGAATGATATCGTAATCGCGTATATATAATAGAATAATTTATTAAGTTATTCCCCTTAACTTTCTTTCTTCTTCGAGCGAATGTTCATTAAAATAATCCTTTTTTTTTTCTTATTATATATCTTCTAATTATTTGAATATAACACGAAATTTTGATACGCGAATCGATAGTCGAATGTTGACAATCTCAGCCAGTTAATGAAACTCTATCGATCTATTCACGAGCTTATATCGAATCTATCTGAATAAATTTCTCATTGTCGTGCCTAGTCGATCGTCTCTCTACGATAATTATCGAATAACGAAGGATTTTCGAAGAAATCCTTGAAAATGAAATATCCGTATATCTGCCAGATCAGGAAAACGAATCTCGCCACTTAGGATTTCCGGATAATATAACCCGTCTTCGCCTATCGCTTCCACACGTATTTATTATCCGCCATTACGCACAAATCTCGCTGGAAACGAAGGTGTGAGACCATAGCTAACGATGTAAATAGACGACGCAGGAGCAAAACGTACATAATAATAATAATAATAATAATATTAATAATAATAATAATAATAATGATAATAATGATAATAATAATAATAATAATAACGATGATAATGATAATGATAATAATAATAATAATAATAACCCCAAGTATCGATTAGTAAGATTAGAATCAGGTAACCGGAAATAACGTGTATCAACCGGAGGTAAATGTAATATCAATTTCGTAAGAACATCGATAATCGTGGAAACGTAGTGGCCTAATCAAACAGGGAAATACGATTTTGGACTTAAGACACCGATGCTTAATACCGATTGATTGTTGCCTGATATAAAAAAGAAAGGGAGGGAAAAAAAAGAAAGAAAAAAAAAGGAAAAAAAAGGGAAAAAAAAATCGAAAAATAATATTGTGATAAAAAAATTCATGAACATCGTGTGTGACATTTGATGAACAACGTTAATGATATTCTTAATAATATGATTATATTATTACACCGATTATATATTCTGAGCTATATATATTATGAAAACCAAAGAAAGGGCCAATTAGATGAAAGATAAAGAATCGTAAATATCATCTCAATTATAAAATAATCTGAATTTCATTTTAGATTAACTTGTAACCGATCTTAAAACAACCTGTCAACACTTGGCGCGCATCTAATGAATAATTAATCGATTGTAGTGTTTGGGAGAGAAAGAGAAAGAGAAGAGAAGAGAGAGAGAGAGAGAGAGAGAGAGAGAGAGAGAGAGAGAGAGAGAGAGAGAAGAAGAAGAGAGAGAGAGAGAGAGAGAGA